CGGCCACTACACTCCAGTCTGGGTGACAGAGTGAGACTCCAACTCAAAAAAAAAAAAATGAAATGAAAAATAAAGCAAGGGAAAAAAACAGCAGGTATGAGTGATTAAGCAAATATTTTATATAGAAATTACTGATAAACACTCCTACACTCTGCCTTTCTTTTGAAAAATAAGTCTTTATTTTAGCAATTACAGAAGATATGACATTTATGATAACTGAGGATGAGATGCAATCAGTGGCTTTTGCAATCATGTTAGAAATGAAAGTGATGAAGCATTTAACACATGTGTTGTTAATTTCTTCATGTACTTTGCAGCCAAATATTCCTACTACAGAGTAAAATAAAATAATGCCATCTGTCACCTCCATACCATCTTTTCATTTGGAGATTTCAAAGCATTTGCAAACATTCATTAATTCCCAATATCCTGGACAGATACACTAGAAGGGTAAAATTGGGGTTCAGAGAAGGTGAACAGCTCAAGGTCAGTTGATAAATAAAATATAGATTTGCAAGAAGATACACATGTCTGTTCTTGTTCCTAGTTCTGAATTATAAGTCATACCCCCATTATGAAATGCTTCCTCTCTTAAAGGGTATGCAGGAGTTGCTTATCTTTGATGTTAAACAACAAATGATTGAACAGAATTCATGTATATAAAATGAGTTAAAAAAATTAAGAAATAGAACTGGGCTGATTTTGTTTCAATAAACATTCTAGTCTCATTTGTTGGAACAGATAGAAAAAGCATTACTAAATTCTAAGGTTGACAGAGCCTACAACTGTCTATATTTTCCATACACTGTTTTATTTTTCTGTTTTTTTTTAATTGTTCTATTTTTCTGTGGATTAAATTATTATATCTAATATCTTTTTTAGTTCTTATACAATCTTCTCTGCAATGCAACTATTTTAATTAACAAAACAAATGTATTACTGAATATCAATGAAATAACCAAAACCAGAATTACACATGCAGTACAATGAATTATAATTATGATTCTTACATAGCAACAGAATCTCCTACATTTTACAGGGAATTGAGGATTGCAGTAAACCCAAGTATCATAATGAACTTAACGATTACTTGTCATAAAAATTACCACAAAAAAGGAAAATTCAAGTGTTAAGCACTACATAAACTCCACAAACTCTTTAGAAATTTAACGTCTATATTTTACTCTGTTAGAAAGCTAGTAATTCCTGATGTCACTTTTGATTTATTTTAGAACAAGACTCATTAGTCCCAAGCAGAGTTTATTACGATCTGAAAACCTTTTTAAAAACTTTTAATGAAGCCCTTAATTATTACATGCTGAGTTTCAATCAGCGAAACCGAAAGTTTTCTTCCAAAACTCCTACCTGCGCATTGGCTTTCCTTCCATGCACCATGAAAAGTACCTTTCACCACACTCTACAGCCGAACCTAAGACAACAGAAAAGCAATAACTCAAGAAAAGCTATTTCTGATTTCTCAGCAACCATCTTAACACAATCATTTCATTCATTTTCTCAGTTATGAAGACTTTTACATCCCATTATACCACAGGCCCTTTGCAGGTGCATAATTATAACTGAATCCAGTGCCTTTAAGATGACTATTCCTACTCTGCAGGCCGAAATAGCGACACGTGAAGGCGAGAGAAAGTGCGCCAAGTAGTCCCGATGGCTAGGTCGGTTTCTCTCTGTGGAGATACTTACCTCTGACCTCGCCATCCAGTAGGTCTACAGAACAATCCGCAGACACCCACAGCAGTAACCTGAGGATCAGACAAGCAGCACGCTGCTTTAACTACGGATCCGAAGGCTGTTAACTCGTCCCGGAGGGACAGCGGGAGGCATTCGCCCTTAAACACACACAACTCCGATTCCGACAGGCCCGGAGTTGAGCAGGACGGGGAAAGGATGGCTCCAGACGAAGCCTCTTTGCGAGCCCTTCCCTCAGCCTCGGAGACAGCGTGCACTACTCCTGGCCAGTCTGGCCAGGTCCCGGAGTTCAGTGGGCGCATAATACTTCCGTCTTCGGACTCCGCACCCTGTTGGGGAAGCCGTCCAGCGCGGACCCCGCACCCCGGTAGGACGGCCGGCGCCCGCCCTGGCTGCGGGACAGGCCGTCCCGGCGACAGCGCAGCCCGGCGCCCAGCGAGGCCCCAGAGTGTCTCCGTGGCTGCGGCTGACTGGCGGCCGGCAGACGGCCCGACCCCCTGGCACCTGGGGAACACGAATTTGCAAAGCGAGCCCGGGCGCTGTCCTCTGTCTCTGCTCTAACGCGGCTCACTTACCGGCTCTGACACTTTCTTCTCAACCGCAGTCTCCGGCGTCCTCCGCCCTCCTCTCCACCTCCCCCGCGGCCAATAGCGTAGGCAGGAAGTCGCTCCTGGAGCTGTTTCCCTTCCCCTCACCCGCCCAAGTCCAGAAACAGGAAGTAGTCCTCTTCCTAAATCATTCCCACTGGAACCCACAGGCGCCTCCGAGAGGTTCCGGTGCGGTTCCGGAAGTAGCCTTGCTCCTTAGCTACGGATTCCGGTAACCTCAAAGTCGGCTTGTCCCCCTAACCGCTTCCTCGTGTCCTGAGAGCTACTATTTAGAGTTCACCTCCTGACTGGCACTATTTGAACATGAAGGCTCCTTTCTTCTTTCCAAAGGCAACAGGAGGATGGAAATAGGGAAAGCTAGGAATTTTGATTGAATTATTGATGCACGACACACGGGGTTGACAGGTGTCTACCAAGCCCCATGCTATGTACAAGGTGCTGAGGTACAAAGAAATACAGCTGACCTTCCAGATTTCCCACAGCCCAGCTTTCAAGGTACCAGGTTATTGACAAAAAGATGCCAAACTTTTAAAATCTTTTAAGGTGGTTTATTCTAAGCTAACTTGAGCGTCAGGCGGGGGAACACCCATCCTCGGGAAGTCCTGAGAACGTGTGCCCACCGTGGTTGAATGGTGGCTTGGTTATATACAATTTAGGGAAACAAGTTACAGAAACCATAAGTCAATACCTGTGACTTTTTCATCGGTTTGACCTGGGAAGGAGAAACATTTTCTAGTGAGGGCTTGCAGGTTATAGGTGGATTTAAGTGTTTCTTGAGGGGCAATTTGTAGTTCCTCTCTAAGGAATTTTGGAAGGCAGTAGAGGACAAAGTGCCTGGAGTCTGAGAGTCCCCAAGAAACGGCTTTGCAGGGCTAGAAAATACTTTAATTTCCTTCTTTATTTGTTGTATGCTATTATGCCAGAGTCAGATTGGAAAACCCTATTGCATAGGTTAATAGGGTAATAAAACCCTGTCTGGTGAGTTTTATCAGGCATAACTCCCCAAGCCTCTTAAGAATGTGGACAAGAGAAAAATGTCACAATTTATTCCTCAAGGTTTTATTGACTTCTGGACTGTGCCAGCTTGCCCTTTCTGTGTTCACCACCAGACACTTCTTCAGGGAACTCACTTTAGTATTAGGGGGAAAACGTATATTTTACCATTTGTCTTTTGCTCCAGATTTGCCCATGGTCCACAGTCATGTGATTTTTACTATATGTTTTTAGAAAACAATAATACAAGTGTATGGTGGAGGTTGCAATTTCAATGGTAAGTACAATAGTCAACATACCCTGTCTCCCACATACATGTAGCAGTAGGAACAAGAAACACGGACACTGTGTTAGTGTGCCTATAAAATGTTCTTGGGGGCCAGGTGCTGTGGCTCAGCCTGTACTCCCAGCTTTGGGAGACTGAGGGGAGAGGACTGCCTGAGCCCGGGGGTTCGAGACCAGCCCGGGCAACTTGGTGAGACCTCATCTTGACAATAAATCACACACACACACACACACACGCACACACACACACACACACACACACACACACACACACACACACACACACACACAAACTAGCTGAGCATGGTGGCCTGCGTCTGTAGTTCTAGCTACTTGGAATGCTGAAGTGGAAGGATCGCCTAAGTCCAGCAGGTGGAGGCTACGATGGCCGTGAACATGCCGCTGCACTCCAGTCTGGGCTACAAGAGTGAGACTCCAACTCAAAGAGAAAAAATGTTCTTGGAGCAAGAGATAGAATAAGAGGTATTAATGTGTGACCTGTGACAAGGAGAGACAGGTTCAGATCTGAGTGTGGCACAGTCTTAGGTAGATTATGCATGACTCGGGTCCTGGCAAGTCTCATAATCTTCTTTTTGCATATTATAACAGGTTAGCATGCAGAAGTGACTGTCATAACTCATATGAATAATAGGCTAGTCTGCGGAAGCGTTAATCATTGCACATATGAATCCACCAAGTAGGACTGGAGAAGCAGCAGCAAAAATGAATTCTTCCTTCTGGATACAAAGAGACAGCAACAGACCTGATTTATTCTGTGGGAGGCCAGCTGACTACCTTATTCAAGCAGACCGTTTCCCAATACTTGTATGTTTCATTGTTGCTTTGGGAGGTAGGTGGTTGTTTTTGAAGCTCATCTCTCCTCTGCCTTTTGACCCTTTCTCAGTGCAGAAAGCAAGCACAACTACATACATAATTTAAAAAGAAGGGGCCAAAGGAAACTAAGCCATGAGCAAATGCTGCCAGTCTAGCTTCATTTAATTCTAAGTAGCATCTGTTCTATACCCCTTCCTTCAATAGCTTTCACCGAACACAATGGTGTGGTAGGCATGTAAGGAGAATAAGACCACCCTTGTCCTCGAGGAACCCTCTCATAGGGGAGATTGGCAAGGAAGCAGTTACAAAGCAATGTCGTAAGTGTAAATACAATGGGAATGTTGAGATTTTCTGCTCAGAGGAGGAGGATTCTGCTTACCTGCCTACCTGGCCAGGCCTAACCTGACCAAAATATGAGACAAGGATAGGACAGTTGGAGCCAATACTCAAACAGAGCTCAGACATGTGCATCACAGTTTACATAATTGATGTCATTAATTTTGACAATTTCATTATGGCTTTTGATATGATTTTTCTTCAGAGAAGGTGAACCACCCACCCCACACCAAAAAAAAGAAAAAAATTAGAAGAGGTTTCACAAATAAGAAGCTCTTCAACAATGATTTTTTTTTTGTTGTTAGTAGAAACTTTTTTATTCAGGAAAAAAGAACCCCAAAAAACAAAAAGATTTTCCAACCACACACAGGAAGGGTATGGGTAGGGAGAGGTGTCAGTTGCTCCAGCCCCTGCCCCCAGCCCATGTGGTTTTGGCAGCAATAAGGGGCGTGGGGTAATGGTCCCCAAAATGAAAATGGTGCATGTGTGCATGGGAGGGGGTGCAAAAGCCGTGGGAGTGTGGGAAAGGGGCAGCCGAGGTCAGTCCTGGGAACGCCACAGGTGGGAGGCCATTTCATGACATTTCTTGTTGATCAAACTGCCATGGACACCTTCTTTGCCCATAAGCAGCACTAGCGTCTTGGCAGTCATGGTGACAGTGACATTGAAGGTGGGGGCTCCGCTGGTGCTCTTGGGGCGAAGATCCACCGTCCAGTCCCCATCCTGCAGCAGTGAGTCCCGGATCACAGAACATTTCTGGCCCCCAAGTGTCAGCCCATTCACGAAGACACTTTACCGGTCTCTGCCAGCCAGGACAACGACCTCAGCTGGCGTGACGAAGGTTTTTCCGGGACCTGTGGCCCAGTAGGAGGGCGAGTCCTTATGGCCCGCGATGCTGCTGGGGCCGCGGGCCGGGCTTGGGCGGCCTCGGGCTGGCGGGCGGGGGAGGCGGAGAGCTCGGGCCACGCGCTGCGCTCCGGACCGCGGCCCTGCTGACTGGGCCGCAGCCCTCGCACCGCCGCTTCCTCTTAAACACTGCGTAAGAATTCCGCAGGTATAGCACATGATGTTCATGCAGATAAAGTTACGGATGCAACCACATAGGTGCCTTGTTCCACAGTTCAAACGAGTGATTAGAGACAAGTTTCTAGGCCTTTGTAAAATACATTTATTTGGGAAAAACATCAGCTAGTTCCTAGTTCTGGAACTAGGAAGACTATAAAGGAGCAAATAGTGAAGCAAAGACGCACAAAGTATTTCTTCAGTTTTACCCACTGTATCAGCGAATGAAACTGCTTTTTCTGGGATTCCTTAAAGTACTAATGACCTTGGTCCTTTTTGATATCACAAGGTGCTGACAGCCATGAATTAGCTCTGTATCCTTTGTAGAGACAAGTGCTTCAGCAGCCAAGGGCACTGCAGAAGCAGTGTGAAAAGCCATTTAACTGATCTTACCTGTAAGAAGCTTCTTGACTCATGATAGGGTTGTGTCCTGATAAGCCCAGCATAAGTTGAAAATATTGCAAGTTGAAAATGCATTTAATACACCTAAACTGCCGATCATCATAACTTAGCCTAGCCTACCTCAAAAGCTCTCAAAATGCTATCATTAGCCTATAGTCTGGCAAAGTCATCTGACACAAAGTCTATTTTATAGAAAAGTGTTGACTATCTCATGCTATTTAGTGAATACAGAAAATGAAAAACAGAATAGTTGTATGGGCTCCTGAAGTATGTTTTCTACTGAATGTGTATTGCTTTCACACCATTATTGCCTGATTTGGCTTGACTTTTAACTGAAAGACAGGAAGTGCAAAATCTTGAATGCCAATGAATCTTGCCCTACGCATAAATTAATTGAACTGTAGTCTCTATAATGCTTCTGGAGGGATGAAATGAATAATTTTGGACAGAGTAGAAAGTTTCAAGACAAGAAAATGAAGACAGAGAGTAAAAAGTTTTGGTTGCTTGTCTGATGAAAACAGTTTTCCCTATGGTTAGAGCTCAGCTGAATGCATTTCTGGATTTTAGGAACATTTTAGAAATATGTTGCGGTAGCTTAGGATGAGTAATTATTATTATAAGATATACTACGTAGAAATGAAGTTTGTTTTTCCATAATTTCTCTCCACCAGATCCACTGGTAAGATGCCCATACAGTAATTCTAACATGTCACCTGGTGGGCAAACGGGAGGCTGCTGAGACTTCTTCCAAGTCACCTGTGAGAGATGCCTCCTTACATCTTATATGCCTCCTTATGTCTTATGACATATATAGTATTTATATATAGTATTTGTATATAGTGTTTGTAAGAGTTGTCACTTATTCATCTGTAATGATATGACACTCAGAAGAAGTTTAAAATTAAATAACTAGAGAAAAGAAATATTAATTAAATCATTTTGAAATTTAAATTATGTTTAAATAACACATACATGTATTTCTTTAGGGTTTTTGAGGATTTGTTTAAATAATTCTGAAGGCATTGCTTTGACAATTCTTTCTCTATCAGGATTTGTGATAGGACAACTGGCCTACAATTTTGTTGGAGTACTGTCTATACACTAAATTAGAGAATAAATAATTAAAGGACAAATGCCCAAAACAAGGTCCACTCCCACCTCATCCCTGAATGTATGAAATTTTTAAAAATGCGAACAGCTACTCAAAAAATGTCATCTGATATTAAACATTTTGAAAATGAAAAACCACACAGTAATGGATACAAACTAGGAAAGCTGAAAATGAAGTGAGGAAAACTTGTTTGTGTTCTTGGGTTCTTCATCTGCTTCTGGGGCCTTGCTCTGGTTTCCTTCTCCTGTACATACCCTTACTTCTTCCCTGCTGCTGTCTTAACAGTTATAGCAACCCTGGTTATGAAAGACAGCAGGTATTTTCATCAGAAGGTGTGATTACTCTTTTCTGTCAGATTAAATGTAAAACATGCTTCATTTAATATACACTACAGACACAAGTAAAATTTATTAATTTATCAACTTAGTCTTAGCTCCTGATTTTAACTGCCTAGCAATGTGATCAATAACAATTTATCTTCACTCATTATTTTATTTTTTTTAAATAGAGACTGCTTGTACCCATCTAGGATTGTAAAAGCCTCTTCTTAGTCTTCTGAAATAACAACACTACTATTAGCTAACATATTTGAGTATTTACTATGTGCCAGGCTTTCTTTTATGTGCTCTGTATTATTAACTTATTAGCCTATTAACTCAAGTTAATGCATTTACTCTCACAGTAACTCAATGGAAATAGGTACTCTACTTTATGTTACAGATGAGATACCTGAGTCACAAGGAGATTAAGTAATAAAGGCTAATTTTATTTTATTTTTTGGGTCAGTGTCTTCTTGCCCAGGCTGGAGAGCAGTGGCACAATCACAGCTCACAGCAGCCTCAACCTCTTGAGCTTTATTATTCTCCTCAGTCTCCTGAGTGGCTGGAACTACAGGCACACGCCACCACACCCAGCTAATTTTTAAATTTTTTGTAGAGACGAGGTCTCACTATGTTGCCCAGACTGGTCTTGAATTCCTGGGCTCAAATAACCCGCCTGCCTTGGCCTCCAAAAGTGCTGGTATTACATGCATGAGCCACCACACCTCCTGGTTAAACTATTCATTGGGCCAAAATGAACTTTTTAGGAGGGAATATTTACAGCACTTCAATCATTGTTGTTGTGTTTTCCATTAATCTGTATACAACTTTAGTGATTTATGTCTTATATATACAACTGGTACTATTATCTATGCATTATTTTTCTCTACCGACTCATTGAACGACTTTAAAATCTTAAGCAAATGTCAGTGAAACCTACAAGTACATGTTCAAGATTCTTTCCCTTGCCTAATGCAAATGAAAATAAACATCTTACAGTCAAATAAAAAATACCTGTATGTGAGTTACCTAAAATATTTTCTGATACCACCAATTGTAGGTGTACCACTTTTTAGAATACTGATGGAATGCCACAAGCCATGTTCATTGTAGCAAAAAAGCACACAATTCTCTGGTGAATAAAAGATCATTTATAGAACCTATCCGGACAGTTAGATCAAGAAATAAACCACAGAAGTCCTAGGATTGACCTTGTAGACAATGTCTCATTAGTTATGAGCTGGAGATATTCTAAAATTTATGATTGACATAGGGTCAACCTAATTTCTACTACTTGAAAATAGCCATAAACTAATTTCCCGTTTGCCTTTATTACTTTAGGTGCACCAAATTGTCTCTCCTCTTCTAAGAACACCAAGTTTTTCACTTTATTCTTATTTTTTGCCTTTAATTATATTTATGGCTGCTTTGGATGTGGACTTTCATGTACTTTTTTTTTTTTTTTTTTTGAGTTGGAGTCTCACTCTTTGCCCGCCTGAGCCTTCCAAGTAGCTGGAACTACAGGCACGCGCTACCACACCCGGCTAATTTTTTTATTTATTGTAAAGATGAGGTCTCACCAAGTTGCCCAAGCGCGTCTCAAACCCACGGGCTTAGGCAATCCACTCACTTCAGCCTCCCAAGGTGTGGGATTACAGGCTGCGGCACAAAGCCCGGCTACTTTCATGTACTTAAGAATGCGTTTTGTAAGGTAAGAACACATTTTAAAAACTTAGAGTCAATTCTTGCTTCTGGATGTCAATAGACAATGCGATTAACTATATAGACAACTAATAATTCACAAAGCTCACGCTGTTAGTTGTTTTTCCCTCTTCTGTAGAACCAAGAGAGTTGAAGGGAGAGGGAAGGAATTGATAGTTGCTGAGTGACAATTGTGACTTAGCAGGCAGTCTCCATTTAAGAGTAAAACTAAGCCAGGCTCGGTGGCTCAGCCTGTAATCCCACGCCTTTGGGAGGCTGAGGTGAGTGGATTGCCTGAGCTCGCAGGTTCGAGACCCGCCTGGGCAGCAAGACCTCATCTCTACAATAAATCAAAAAATCAGCCGGGCGTGGTAGCGCATGCCTGTAATTCCGGCTACTCGGAAGGCTGAGGCGGAAGGATCGCCGGAGCCCAGCAGGTCGAGGCTGC